CCCCTGTACCTGCGTGGGCACAGCCGGGGGGTGCCGGGGTGGGCAGTGGGGATCCCAGTGGGGAGGGCAGGGGGGATCCCACGCGGGTGGGCGCGCCGGGAACAGGAGTTTGGGGAAGTTGAACTTGTAGGTGAAGCGTTTGCCCTTGGACTTGTGCAGGATGTGCTTGGGGTAGTAATACCTGGGGGGAGGGGGGGGGGAGAAAACGGGGGTGTCAATGGCGAGTTTTGGGGTCCCTGGCACGGTGCCCACCCCGGTTCCCGGGGCACCACCTGAGGGCCCTGCTGAGCTTGTCGTAGTTCATTTGGGGTTTGCGTTTCCTCCTCCCCCACAGCCGGGCCACCTCCTCGGGGTCCTTGATGACGAACTCGCCGTCCCCCCCGCGCTGCCAGGCGATGACGTGGCGGAATTCCTCCCTCTCCAGCAGCTCCAGGATGAAGTGCCACAGCTGGATCTGCCTGGAGCCAGGGCGGGATTCGCCCCCCGGCGCCCACTCGGGGAACGAGGGCACTGCGGGGCCAAGGGGGGGGGGGGTCACCCCGAGGCAAAGGAGCCCCCCCAAACCCACCCCATCCCAAATCCCGGGGGTCCTGCACCCCCCGAGGCCTCGCGGGGGATCCCCCCGGGCTCTCACCTGGCACCGGGCAGGGTGGGCAGGGACGGGCTGAGCCCCGGGAGGAGCCGGGCAGGACGGGCATCACCCGAGCCAGGAATTCCCACGGCATCGGCCGGCCTGGGGGGGCAAAGCACGGGAGCCCCGGGGGCACAACCCGGGCACCGGGATCCACCCGGGATCCAGCTGGCCCCGGGGGGTCCACCCGGGACCTGGGGGGGTCATCCAGGACCTGAGGGATTCATCCATCCCCCCAGGATCCATCCAGGACCTGAGGGATCCACCCAGGACCTGAGGGATCCATCCGGAACCTGAGGGATTCATCCAGGACCTGAGGGATTCATCCAGGACCTGAGGGATTCATCCATCCCCCCGGGATTCATCCATCCCCCCAGGATCCATCCAGGACCTGAGGGATCCATCCAGCCCCGGGGGGATCCATCCAAGCCCCCCAGGAATCCTCCCAGCTCCTTCTCCAGCTCCTTCCCGGTGGTTCCCGGGGTTTGGGGGGTGAGGAGGGGGGAGGTCCCAACCCCTCCCCTCCCT